AGCAGGCCTGCTGAATTTTTCAGTCTGCACTTTTCAGCTCAAAAAGTTTCTGCAAATCAAGGTAGTCAACTGGAAAAAATATATGTTGTAATCCTGAAATATAAAGGTTTAATGCTATCCATGGGCTTCTTAAGAACTGAATTAAAGTTCAAGAAACTGAGAGTTACAGCTGTGGACACTCATTTCAGTTAGTTTTCTGATGAGCTCATTTTTTTTGGTGTGTGGGGGTTAGTAAAAGAAAATGTGGTAAATACGGTCTTGCATGATTCAGTCTTGAGAAATGTGTAGATGACAATTGGTCTTTTTTTCTGCAGTAGATTGTAATAACTTCAGATTCCAGCAGGAAGCACAGGGGCAGTTTCACAGGGTAGCAGTGAAATTGCAGCATTTTCTTGCCTTACTTTCCTGAGCAGCCACCACCAGAATTCTCTGTGCAGTTTCATGCACCACTTCTGCTTCAATGTGCTGCATGTGCAGATGCTTTTGCAGGAAGTGTGGAAGTGGAGCAGCCATCAGAGGCCAAGGACATGCCTGCGCCTCTGTTACCTGGTTTTTTAGGGTTTTTTGGGCAGTGAGATGGAAACAGAAGAATTTGATAAGCATAATTTCCAGCAGCATGGTTCTATGAATCTTACAGTTGAAGAGTTAAATCAACAAAAAACTGAGGGAAGCAATTTGAAATTCAATAACTTTTATGGTTTTGTTAGCCAATTCTGGCAGTTCAATATGTATATAAAAAAACGCAGTGTTACTGAGTCATGCTGTTGAGCAGTTATTTATCCACCCATTTTTCAGATTTTGATGCTATTTGAGACTTTAAAATGAGTTACCTGATGAAACTATTTAACTAACTTCACTTGCTGCTTGTGTGCATGAGAATTTAATTTCTTCATTTGTTTTATTTCTCCCCATTTCATCCAGCTGGTCCTGTGTGGTTAAAAGGAGGTGAGTGCTGTTCTATTTCTTAGTTGTGCACAGAATCACTTGTTAAGTTTGCAAGTTTTGCAGCAGTTAAAGGCTCCCGAAAACTCTTGATGCTCTCATGCCCATCAGTGAGGGTATGATTTATACACTTAAAATAACGAGAATTAAGATGAGTTAAGCCATGAAGTTGCCTACTAATAAAAGTGATTATGATGCAACTTAAGAAAACAAAAAGAAAGAAAAGGGCTTAATGTGAGAGAAATCTGGGTCAGCTGAATAATTCTGAGCCCACCACAAGCATTAGTCTGAGCCTGACCCTTTGGACACTAGGCAGTCTTTTCCAGCTGCTAGGTGAGAGCTGTGGGCAAACTGAAATACAGCGAGGCAAAGTTATTTTACAAAACATTGGGCTGAAGTTCACAAGGAAAGAAAAAGCAAGGAAGCTGTTGCAATAACTGTGGATTTTAATATTTTCAGTACATGTGTGTAGTAGCTGTTCACATAAATCTTGCTTGATCTCCTCTGACTCTAATACTAGTGCAAGAGCTGCATCTCCACTTAAGATGACAGCTATTGAGTTGGATTGTTTTGAGCAGATGAGGAAACCTGCTTTTGTAATGAAGATTTCAGGCCACAGGAGTGGGAAGCAAAGAAGAGCATCTTTAGGAAGGTTTGAAGCAAATGATAAATGTGCATATTGGGGGTGGAAAGAACTCCTGGCACACCTCTGCCCAGAGCGTGTGTCATCTGCTCTGACAGAAAACCAGGGCTCATTTTTTGTCTGTTGCAGGGACAGGCTCAGCATGTGCTAGAAAACACTGCCTGGTGCTCTTGCTGCCTGGCCTGGCCTCAAGCTAAACAGCAGAGATAAGCGGGTTTTGGGATTTGTTTGTGGGGTTTTTTTTGGGTTTTTTTTTTTTGTTGTTTCTCTTTTTCCACCCCCCAGTGGAGACACTCATTTGGATTTGGATCAGCTTAGCTGTCCCTTTCTCCCCTGCACTCCCTCATCTTTCAAGAGCTTCATAATAGGAGCTGTTAACTGGTTGGAGGCATCAGAATTTCTCTGAGGGAAGAGTTACACTGACACTCTATGTCCAGGCAAGCACTTAGAGAGGGAGAATGTGGCTTACAGCATAGCTGGAATGAACACAAGACTGGGAAATGTGAGCAAAAGAAATTCCCATTCTGTGTTTCTGTTCAGTTCAGGAAAAGAGAACTTTGCTGACATACATTATGAATAAAGTAGGTAGGTTTTTGCCTCCTGCTGTCGTCTGTTTTGTTGGGACTTGAAGATTGATGAGCTTTTTAGGTTGCATAGACAAAGTACTGGAATGGGACTTGAAATTTCAGATTCTGTTCCTAGATTTGTTCGTACCTTGTCTGTGACTCTCATGAACTTGCTTTATCACTCTGGGCCTAATCAACCCTATGTTCACTTTTCAAAAGAACTTGAAGTTTGACTAATGAAAGTCAAGCTGTAGATGGCAGGTATGACTGTTTCTGTTCTGTTCTTTCCCTGTATTTTATGCCCACTCCTCTGCTCTAAAACCTTCATTAGAAATGAGGGTTTTCTGAGCTGACTAAACATCTTCCGTCTCTGCCAAGCAGCTCTTATGACAGTATTTGTCAGATAATGATGAGTAAGGCTTGCATGGAGAGATGCTGATCACATCTGATGAAGCTATTGGAACCAGGAAAACTGATTTTCGCCAAAACAACTTGTTTGCAGAAAGCTTCTCTGTAAATACCTGTCTCTACCTACTTGATCTCACATTTACTTTATTTGTATTTTAGTCCGTAATTTGTGCGCTTAAGTCCTGCAATTCACATACATTGGTGGAGTTAATTTAAATTGTCACTCTGCATTACAATGAATTGTAGCATCCATTGCTTTCTCTTCCTGCTAGTAATACACAATCATCTCAGTCATCTCAAAATAAAACCAGTTGGTATATATAGTCTAACAGAGATTTACCAAGTTTTTGGCATCACTGGCATGCAGTGAGAGCAGAATTAGAAAAAGCAAGAGCTCTACCTATTAGGAAGGAAAGTGACCGCTGTAAACATTCCTCTTTTTGTTTTCCCATTGCTTTTGTTGTTGTTTGTTCTGTTTGGTTGGTTAGTTTTGCCTGTTTTGGTGTTGTAATGCAGAGCTATTCAGGTGAAAGCAGTGCGGACCTTGCTGTGGTGCTGGATATCCTCTTGGTGTGGGAGCTACCAAGGCCTGGTGCTCTTTTGATCTCCCTGGTTTGTGAAGTGCTGTGTAATCTTGGCAGTGTTCTGCAGTCAGCTGCAGAAGAGTTGAACAGAGACAAGAATTTCAAAAAGTAACCATAGCACATACTCTTTTCTCACTGAAGTGTCAGGAAGAAGTAATTAATGTTGTACAGACAGTTTTACTTCTGGCATTTCCTAATGTTTAAGTATTTGCAGCCTCAGCATTCTTTTTGACAATTTTCCAGAGCAGTATCTCTTAGCCCAGATGCTGCACTTGGAATGTCAGATGCTGTGAACAGAACAGAAAATTTGAGGTAAGACTTGTTCAGATTAATTTGCCAGGGGCAGAGGTTTAGAGACAGTCTAGGACCAACCCCTTAGTTCCTGCAGGACAGTATGGTTATTGCAAATATATTTGCAATATATTGCAACTTATTCCTGAGCACTGGAAGAAATTTCTGGAATCCAACCCAGATTAATTACTGTGTAAGGAAGGAGTTTTTTCTCCAGGGAAGGGTTCTTGCCCTTGCCAAGAGTGGTTGACATATGCTTGAATGCTACCGAAGAACTTGAATGAATGAATAAAATGTGAAAAGATCTTTCAAAACATGCCTGATGTCCTTTCTGCCAGCTGATAAATAACACCAATGGATTATGCAAGTGGAGTTGCAAGGATGAGTTGAGTGGTTTTGGACAGCAAATCTTGATACAGAATGACAGCCCACAGGGACATCTCTGCTGTGAGATGTGAGGAGCAACAGCCACAGAGAAAGCACAGGGCAAGCAGGGGTGTGGTGGAAACAGCAATTAAGATCTGTAATTGCTTTCTTGTGTTCTTTCTGCAGGGCTTTGTGTATTTTTGGGCAAGCAGTCAGCACACATGGAGTTTTTTGTCTTCTGCAATCTTTTGCAGGTGTTTAGATTCATTCTGTCCGATGGAATTAAAGACATTCCTTTGGGAAGCACTGCACAGCCCCTATAAGGTCTGCTGTTCTTCATAATGTAGCTTGGTACCAACATTCCAGACAGCCTATTCCACTAGTTGTACTCTAGAAATCTTTTAAGAACTGCTCTTGTTTGTAGGGATTTGCTTTGTGTTGAGGAGGTCTTTGCATGTGCTGCTTCAAATACTGTGAATTAAAAATAAAGCAAAGAATTACAGGCTCTGGAATTAATTCTGCTGAGCAAGACTCCTGCTACTGAGATAGGGCAGAAACTAATTCATAAAGCCTCATAGGGAACAAGAACTCAGCACCAAAATGGAACTTATTGTGATGTCTGTAACACTTTTTCCAACACCACTAGTTATTTTTGATTCTTCACTGTGCTATTTACAATTGATCTGTACTGTTTACTGTGAAAGCTCAAATTACAACACTTCATTGCTCTTGGTTCCCAAGTCTGCATCTGTACCCACTGTTGTACAAGGCTACTGGCTGCTTCTTTTTACCTCTGCCCCAAGAATGCTACAGGATCAGTGTTCCTGCCCTCACCTGACAGCTGCAACTTTGTACCTGAGTTCTTGGCATGCACGTAGTCAGTATTTTGAGTGACACCTTCCATAAAACTGATTGCTCAAAGGGATGTTTCTGGCTGAGGTTCCCACCTTCTCTGATCCAGCCTCTGCTGGATCTTAAAATAATGGTATCATTAGCATATTGCAGCAAGGTGATGTATTAAATAACACTCAAGAATGGAAATAATCCTCATTTTCTTGGATCAAGGACAGTGGTAGGAAAGAAGGGAAGTGAAAATTCAGAAATCTTTAATGTGACAGGGAAGAGTTAAGAACAATACAGAGTCATTTCAACTGACAGATTTGTAGCAGTTTTATAATACGAGTTTGGAAGTGTGAAATGATGATAAGTGTAATTCTCATATCTCTGGTTTTGTTTCTTCTGAGTGCACAGTTCCTGAATCTGCAATGGAAGAGTCGTGGATTTCCTCCTGGACCAACCCCATTTCCCATTATTGGAAGCGTCTGGTGGATAAACTTTAGAGCAGATCATGGGAGCCTGAAAAAGGTATGTATTTGCAGGTAAACTTAAGAACTTAAGTTCCTGTATTTTGCAGGTGAACTTAAGAGCTATTGAGGCAAAACCTATAAAAAATGATGATGGTTGTTGATAGGCTGATGTGGTAACAGGGAGAACCCCGAGAGAAGGTGAATTGTGGAAGTGAAGTGCCTGAACAAGTTAAGGTAAAAACCTGCAGACTGTCTAATTCGTATGAAAGCTGATATGTGTACAACTTAAACAGAATTGAACATAGTAATTTTGCCTCAGAAAAGACATATATTTAAGGGAATCTTTGGCCTTGAAAGAAAAATGTGATTCTCAGATTTTCTATCACTGGCATATATTAAAAAAAATATAAAACTAGGTGTCTTGAATTCAGAAGCTGTGAAAAGCACACCAGGACATCTTCTGCTGTCAGGGAATGGAAACAGGATTGTATCCCATATGCAGCCAAATCCTTTGATCCATCGTTTCTCTGAGGTCCAGTCTGGAATGTGCTCTCTGCAGATAAACTAAAGATGTAAATGATGGTGAAAGGAAAGAACTGATGAGAAGAATTAGGTCCATGATAAGCCTGTTAATACAGATTCTTTCTGTTTTCAACATCCTCCACTGAGCCACAAGATGTCACAAAAGAACTCAGTATGTTACTGTATTTTTCAAATTGCTTCCTTTCCTTGTGTGCTAAGTGCAACTTGCAGGTCAGTGGGTAGCTGGCTGCAGCTGAAGGGAGCTTAAAGACCGTGATGCTAAAATTTTCTGATGGGTACATGTTAATCACTGTGAGAGGACAGACCTGTACTGGTTCTTGGTCTAGCATCATGGATTTGGTCCTTGCAGAATACCCACAGCACTGCCTGAGAGGAGTCCCTATCACTACCCAGAGAAGGGATCTATGCTTAGATGCCTCAGTTGAAAGTATTTCAGTATAAGACAAGAAGAGTTCCTGCCATTGAAACATGAAATCTGTAGTACTAGAAGGGGAGTTACACCTGGAATTCATAATTTCAAGGAATTCTGGTTGTTGTCTGAGGGAATGAAATATGGAGTTGAAAAATGTAACCAAGAATGGGCAGGTGAAATTTCACAGGAAACCTTGCATAGATCCATAAAGACACAGGAGCATTTACCCTATTGTTGGTATTCAAAGGTAACCAAGGCCAAGTTCTAGAAAGGGACCATTTAGGACCATTTATTCTTGCTCATATTTCTGTGGGTGCTGTGTTCCCAGGGAGAACCTAGATCCTTCCTGTGGAAAGCACCCCCACCACAAAACTCAGCCACTGTCCCTTTTCATCTCCAGAACCCCTGAGTAGTGTTGTGCTAGAGAAGAGCAGCCCATCATGTGTGCACATTTGTTGATTTTTCTCCCATGGGGTTTTTTTTGGCACTGATCTTACCTGCAGCTGGCAAAAACCTATGGCAACATCTGCACCCTGTGGATGGGTCACAGACCTATTGTGGTGCTCTATGGGTTCCAAGCTGTGAAGAACGGTCTCACCAACAACTCGGAGGATGTTTCAGGGCGACTGCAGACCTACATTTTCAACAAAATGGCAGAAGGAAAGGGTAAGATGTTCATGTCAGTGGAAGGACTTCATCCTTGACTTTCTTTGTTTCCTTTTGTGTTTTTCTTACTGAAAACCTCTTAGTTCCCAAGTGACTTCTTCTGTCTGCTCAAGGTGAATTATATAATTCTGAAGCGTCATCCTAAGTGGTCTCCAAATCCCACTGTCACCCATGTATTTCAGAATCTTACCAGAGCAGCATGGTCTTGTTTGTCCATTCTTAGTGTTGTCTGCGTGTCCTGATTTGAAATAATCCTGAGTCTGTGGCCTCCTCTGCAAGCTGAGACTAAAGTAAATCTTTATGCTCCCAGCTGTTTGTTTACAACAAAGGCTGCGGTAAGGAAATCATATACACAACTCTGATCTTGTTCTGAAGTACAAAGTCACATGAAGGTCAGTGGAGCTTTAAATTTGTTAGCCAGTGTTCAAAGCATTGTATTTGCTATCACAAACACTGCTGAATTACAGTGGATGAAGAATAAAGAGTGATATGTTTAAAACAGAAATAATTGAACTTGTTTCCATCAGCCTCTTATTTAGAGAATGTACAGCAGATGCCTTTACCCTCCATCAGGATTCATTTCAGAGCTACAGACTGGAAAGCTTTAATTTGTAATGCTAGCTAATGTAATTAGAGAAAAAACACTTTAAGATACAGAGATTAAGTCTGTGGCCATTTCATCCTTCATTTGGAAGGATCTTGTATTGCCACTTTTTATCTGGTGCTGTGGAGAAAAGTAGCTGAGTTGTGACAAGTGCCCTAAAATTTGTAATTTGTAGCAGGGATGGCTTTAACAAACAGCTGCAGCTCAGCTGCAAGTTTCTGATTCTGCCACACAAATACCACCTGCCTGTCCCTTGTTCCCAGGACAGCAGAAGGAATAGGGGAGAGTTATCCCAGTCTGTAGTGAAGCAGCTGTCTTGGGGAGCAAGCTGGCTTTCCCAGGGGAAGTGCAGGCTAGACTGGTGGAAGGAATTTCTCCACCAAGCAAATTAAATAATTCATGCTGGGTGGTCTCTGATAGAACACAGACTCACAGCAGAGTAGCCTGGGATTCCTTTTTGTCCCACAGGATCTCTTGATCCAAAGAAGCTGTTTGCAGATTGGCTAAAGCCTACTTTTCCTTCTCATTTTGGTTGGGTGGTTCTTGCCCTGGCTTCATTTTCCTTCCAGAAGGGACCTTTCCAAGATGAGAGCTCGATATTTGGTGTAAAGATCCTGGTAGAACAGGATCCCTCAAAGAACAGACACAGATGCTTCGGAAATAATAGAATTAAGTTTGGAGGGCAGGTGTGTGAGTCCAGAGATCCAGGTGGGTTTTTTGCAGGGATGGGAATATCTTAACCAAGGTGTTTTCTCTGCCTCTAACAACATTCAATTCAAAGAACACTGTCCTGAGGTGTCCCTTCTCTCTGAGTGATGAGAAGATGGCACTTACTGTGTTCATCATTTAGAGTTGTATGAACTTTAATATGACAAAAAATTCATTCTTGGTGGCTAAAGGTATCTTGGTCTCAAACGGTCTCATCTGGAAACAACAGAGACATTTTGGAATTGGAACTCTCCGAAAGCTGGGAATGGGGAATAAAGGAATGGAGCGTGGGATACAAACAGAGGCTCGTTTCCTGGTCAAGTTCTTCGGAGACAGAGAGGGTATGGCATTGACACAGTGCTTGGGGGCAGACACAACACAGACTGCTTGACTCTAAATGTAAACACTACTTTTGTTACAGAATAGAGTGGATTTGGAGCACATCTTATATCAGCAGATTTAGGATAAGGTGCTAAAGAACTGCAGACCCCACATTCTGTGGGGTTTGCTAACAGACTGGAAAAAGAGACATGAAGGAATACAGCAGGGAAATCCCTGAACCCAAAATATAAAGTTTCTTTGCTTATTTATTTTTTGAGAAAAAGCCCCTCAGAACCCTTGAGATTATTGTACAGCTGGACCTCAGTTGTCTCTATTTTGTGAGAAACACCAAAACTGAGATTTAAAAAGAAAAAAGAAAGCATAAAGGGAAGTAAATTAAAAAAACAAGGCCAGGAGTTTAAGATTTGAAGCTTTCCTGACTTCATTTTTGAGTGGGGTTTATCTTTTGTTACATTTCCTAGTGAATTTTGGGTGTTTGAGTAACAGTATAAATATCATAGGGGACATCTGTTATAAAATGTCACTATAATCTTGTTCCCAAATAGCAAAGGAGGAGAAGGAAGTGCTTTGGAGATTAATATTTTTCTCTGTCTGCAGGAGAAGCTGTTGACCCTTCCTTCCCCATTGTCCACGCTGTCTCCAATGTGATTTGTGCTGTGGTTTTTGGACATCGTTTCTCCCTAGAAGATAAAACCTTCCACCAGCTGATTGAAGCCTTCAATCATATAGTGGCTTTTGGGAACAGCCACATTTATTATGTGAGAATATTACTTATGAGATTATATATTGCTTATTAGAATAATACTAATATGCAACTTATTTGATTATTGAGCTCATTATTTATTGAAATATAATTATATCAGTATGTATATTATTAAAGTATTGCATTATTGAATGCTGATAAATAGTCAGACTGTGAATATGAACTGGACCCCCCACTGCTTTGGGTTTGATATGATTCAATTATGAATATTGTATTAATAATCTTTATTAGAATGTCTTAACAAAGGTAATGTGCTTGGGATAATGAACTTTCCTGTAATGGAAATATGAGTATTGCTAAGGTGAAAAGATGATACTCTGTGTGAGAATGAAAGAGAATGATTTTTTTTTAATTATTATTTTTTTTGATGCTAAGGTGATAGACATAAAAGTTTATTAACATCAGATGTATTAATATTGATGCGTGTTACATCTATCTGCAAAAGTAAATTATTTTGTTGGTGAATTAACAGGGAAAATACAGATGGAGTTCTGCAGTAAGGATGGGAAAAAATCCAGGGTGGAAACTGTGCTGTCCCCAATTTGTGGTTTTAATGTGCTTTTATGTATTCAACGTGTACTGAACATTTCTTTTTGATGCCACAGGACTTTTCGCAGAGAAACTAATTCAGTAATTTAACACCAAAACTGTCCATGCTACATGTCTATCACAAGGCTTCTCTTCAGTGTCACTAACTTCCTCTGTGCTGAATTCCTACTCCCCAGATGTGTGAAGTGTTCCCATGGTTTGCAGAGCACCTCCCAGGACCTCAAAATAAAGCAAGATTTTCCCGGGATTTTGTTCATTCCTTTATAAGGCAGGAAATCAAAAACCACAGGAAAAAAGGCAGAATAGATGAACCAGAAGATTTCATTGACTTTTACCTGAAGCAGATAGAGAAAGTGAGTAATCAATGCTGTACACGACACAGATCCAACCATAACGGGTTCCATGACCCTTCCCTGCTGTTTTCTGTCCACAACAACATTACTGCAGAACTCAACAAGTGCAGCTTGAAAACTCTGCTTGTCAAACTCAAAATATGAGCTTTGAATAGTTAGTTCAATAACTGGTTCTGGAAGTACACATTATTTACATTGGTTTGTTATCATATAAGGTGGAATCCTTAGTGTGGGCTGGGCAGCAGGGAGGACCTTGAAAAGGTGCAGGTATTTAGATGGCTGCCTAATTCTGATTCATTTTTGCCTCGTTGTATTACTTTTGTGCACAGTAGTGCTGTATGAGTATCATGATAATCTTAAAATGTTGGCAGTCTCTGCTCTGAAAAAAAGCATAAATCTTTAAAAGGATAACATTATATATTAGATAGATTGCTGAAATCAGCAAATGTGCTGAGAGTGGCATGGGTGGCATAAAACTACCTTGAAATGTGTTTTTCTGCTGTGGAACAGAAGTCAACATGCCACTTTATAAGGCAGCATAACAGGACTTATACACCTGACACATTCAACTGCATCTGTAATTTAACAATATCAGTGTACTCATTTGAGTCAAGTCTTTGCCTGTATCTGTGTTCTGCTCAAGAATTTATATTTTCTCTGTCCTATAGAAATCTTGTTCCCTTAGATACAGTGATCACTGTCTATCTTAATGCTGTTACACAGCTATACCCCATTTTACCTTTCTCATTGACACTTGTAGACTAAAAATGTCCCCAGTTCTACATTTGATGAAGACAACATGGTGCAGTCTGTTTTTGACCTTTTCCTGGGTGGCTCAGAGACCACAGCCACCACTCTGTGCTGGGCTCTGCTCTATATGTTGATTTATCCTGACATCCAAGGTGAGTTGTACACACAAACATGGATATGATTCAAGTAGAGCAATTTTCTGGTTTTTTTTGTTTATTTGTTTGTTTGTGTTTTTTTGCTAAAATCAAGGTTTTTTTTAAGATCAAGCTTTCTTTTTTAAAAGATAATTCCTGAACTTTGCTTTTAATAAGCCAATGTAGTAAAAAAAAATTAGACAGTTTTTAAAATAAATTCAGGGTTATTTAGGTTCTGATATTGTATTGGGTCTTGTTGATTTTTGTCAGACTTTCAGCACTGTAAGCATATATTGGAAGATACAGGCTGCAAACACACAAGGTGAAATAAGAGATTGGGTTAGGGAATAGTGATGCTTTTCTGGTATCCAGAGTGTGTAATAAGGTTGCCTTATTTGAGTTCATTAACTGAGACATCAATTGAATTTCTGTAAACTAGATATATTTATTCTAATATATGGGAATGTTAAACAGAGAAGGAAGAAAATAATAGGAAGACAAAAAGATAATCCAGAAATTCTAGACTGGAGTATAGTTCCACACTAGTTTCAAAATTTTTGGATGATTTGGTAGAGGGTTTTCAGAGGTGATGAATTATTAAACCATGTTCTTGATTCTCAGGCCGAGGGCTAGAAATTCTTTTCATGCTTGTGGTGCTAGAATGCTAGAAGAACAGAGCCCTGTGCACACACATGAATTTCAAATTCTGATAAATTATAAAGAAAAAATGCCTCTTAGCTTACTAGCCCAAGTTTTAAGTATGACATCTGACCCCAAACCATCTGAGACTGTATAAGGTGTGTTAGTTACTGAAGCTTAGATAGCAGTCCAAAGAGATTAACACTTGGTGATGCTTTAGTAATATGATCATGTTTCAGTTCTCAGTATTACACATGTATCAGCTTGATGGGATGGCTTGCTTGCCCTCATTAGTGTGCTGTGAGTCTGTAATTAACCTGGAGTAAAATCAACAACTTGATTTGATTAACAGAATTGATCTCTTAATAAGAAGGTCTTGTTATACTTAGAGTTTTCTCCCCCTCCTTTTAATATAATGCTCCATAAATCTGCTGAGCCTGTGGAAAGAGGGTCTGAACACAGAACCTATAAACTGGGAAACAGAGTGTAGTAAAATCATAATTAGCTGGTTGTATAAATGCATTTACACTTTAGGATATGGTAAGTATAAATTCTTTATATATTGTAAATTTTTCAATCACTACTATACTCTAAAAAGGAAATGAAAACTCTGTTTCACACCAAACAGCATTCCTGTATTTATAATGGGTATTTTAATTTTTTTTAGACAAAGTCCAGAAAGAACTGGATGCTGTTCTGAGTCCCTCCCATCTCATCTGCTATGAGGATAGGAAGAAGCTGCCGTACACAAATGCTGTGATTCATGAGATCCTCCGCTTCAGCAGCATTGTTTTAATCACAATTCCTAGAGAAGCTGTGAAGGATACCACAGTTTTGGGGTATCACATTCCAAAGGTACAGATATCCTTTCTATTCCAATGGGATCTTTGGCCACAAGTAAAGGTTTACCATTAAACCCTTTCTTCTCCAGCTCAGGACAGGAAGATCATTTCACTAGATTTAGGATAAGGTGCTAAAGAACTGCAGACCACACATTCTATGGCATTTGCTAACAGACTGGAAAAAGAGACATGAAGAAATAAAGCAGGGAAATTCCTGAACCCTAAGTACTGAAGTTTCTTTCCTAATTTATTTTTTGAAGAAAACCCCCCCTCAGAACCGTTGAGATTGTTTTTCCCCTAACTATGTAATCTTTAATTTCTGCTGCCTTTCCATGTGCAGAATTATAGCTGGAATCTCTGTTGGCACAGACAGAACTGTGCCAAGCACATCTTCCTTTCAGGGCACTATAATTATGGCCAATGTAGACTCTGCTCTTTTTGACCCTGCCTATTGGGAGACGCCTCACCAGTTCAACCCTGACCATTTCTTGGACAAGGATGGAAATTTTGTCACCCGAGAGGCCTTCTTGGCCTTCTCAGCAGGTGAGTGCACTAAGAACTGAGCCCAGTTATGTAGGTTAGATGAAGCTGTGTTATTTTCATTGTGGAGAAGGCCAAAGGGGAGTGTTACCCCAAAATGCACAAACATGTGGTTTTCCCAGCCCAGAAAAATGTTTGTCTGCAAGAATAATTTGTTTGGCAATTGTATAAACACTTGATCTTAGATTTTTATGAAAATGCAGAGAAGATAAAATGAGTAAGGTCCCAGAATTCCCAATCACTTAGGAACTTGAGTCTTTACACTGCTGCCCTTGGTCCTCCTCTGTATATGCCAGGTTATACCATTACAGTGGATATTCTGTGCCAGGATGCTGTGCTGGAGCTGATTTATGTTGTATAAATAATTCAATATTCATCAGTGCAGAGAGTTGAATGGGAGATCCAGAAGCTGGATCAAATATATCCAGAAATCTATGTCTTTCCTGTGGAGCTTCTGGAATCACTCTTTCACCAGTGTGTGAGTTTATAGAAGCTTAAACAAACAAAAGCTCTGGGGCATTATGCCAGGAGGGAATAGCCAGATTGTCAGAGCTGTCAGCTGAGATATGAAAATGTCAGGCTCAGGTTTCTGGTCTAAATTGGGCAGAAGAGGAATTGGTTTCTCACATCCAAATTGAATAACCTGACCACTGCATTTCAGAGTTTGTCACTGTCTGTCTATGGGAATTATATCCTGGACAGAGTTAATTGATAAATTGGGAAGAGATTTTTCTTTAACATGTTCTTTTCACTGAAACCATTATGTAGGAAAATGTTTCATCAGGTGTAGAATGTCATCTGTCTTCTGATTTTTCACTGTTATTAGGGAAGATAAGTCAGTGCTAAGTGGAAAATGTGAGGGAACCTAAAGATGCCTTCTTGTCGTTTTTATTTGGAATCAAAAGACTGAAATCTCTTTCATAAAATTAGAGAGTTCTGTAGATTAGGAAGCAAGAATGAAACTTCTGAGAAGCATCTCTGGTACCTTTTCTATAATATGGGCAGATACTGCTAAGATGATTGCAGATATCTCAGCTGTGTGTCCAGTTCAGTCTGAGAGGAAATTGTCAAATTCAGAATGCTCTTAGTTCCTTGCTGAGCAATGCTCCTGTGAAAAGCTGGGAAACAGGTGCTGGTTGCAGACCTTGGTGGGGACTGACTTCTCTTTCCACGGTTTCCCTGCAGGTCACCGTGTTTGTCTGGGAGAGACGATGGCCAAGATGGAGCTTTTCATCATATTCTGCAGCCTGCTGCAGAAATTCAAGTTCATTGTACCAGAAGGAGTTAAGGAAGTCAACACAGACATTATCTTTGGGAGCACCATGAAACCCCATCCATACAAGCTCTGTGCAGTTCTGCGCTAGGTTGCTCAGCATTAGAGATTTAAGAGGCGCAGACACAGGTTTGGTAGTGTGCCGGTATTTGTGCAGCTTTAGGGTTCTCATTTTTAGCTCAAATGCAGTGCAAATCTCTCCTTGTTGTGTTACATGTCTTAGGAGCCAGTCCTGAAAAACACTCTGGTTTCCTGTGTCTGGAAAGCGTCTGTACTTTTTTTCTGCTGTGTTACAAATTAAATAAATGTAGACAATTATTGCTCTGTCTAGTCTTACTAGAAACTTACTGGAGAGAGCAGGAACACCAGAGCCAGATTCCAAGGAGTCTTCCCATACAGTCTCAAATCCAGAATGGTGTGTGGGAATGCTGTTCCCGGAGGTGGTGGCTCTGGGCATTGCCAGAGCTCCCAGCTATGGTTGCATGGGAACACAAAGCTGTGGAGGGGCATCTCAGCTTGCTGGGAGCAGATTTGTCTATTTAGCCAAGAGCCGCTGGCCGATGATCGCTTGAGACTGGAAGTAACAGAGAGACAACAGTGTAACCCTTCATTTGGCTGTGAGGCTCCTGACTCAGGCCAAAAACAAAGGCAAACCCCTCCTATTGCCTGCTGGAAAATGCAGAGGGAAGCCCCACTGCTGGTGAAATGCAGTGGGTAGAATCAGATAAGGACCAGTGGGCTGGCCTGGAAATTCTTTTAATTTTTTATTTTTTGATATATGCTCTTGTGGTGCATTTGAGAACCAAATCTATGAAGGTGGGAGTCCTCTCACACCCCAGGGTTTGTAACAACGATGATGTATAGCAGATTAGATTTGCCATGTCTCCTCACTGATGCCCAAAAGCACAGTTCAGGGGGCAGCTTGCAGTCTTTGCAGTCTTGTGCAGCAAAGCTTGGTGCCTGCAAAAGAGGGGCAGAGCAGGAGACATTGACGTGGTGTTCCCCAGAAGCTCTGGGAGAATCAAAGCTCTTGAGAATTTTCTGTGAGCAGAGGGGCAGCTGCATACAAGCAGCCTTCTGAGAGCTGAGCTGAGCCTGCTGAGTCCAAACCCACACTGAGGGAAGAGCTGTGCAAGGTGCAGCTGGCAGAAGCCAGGGTCCAAGCAGGGCTAGTGGACAGCAAGTGCCAGCAGCCACCCTTGCTGTGGGACTGGCCTTGTTAACCACCCTGTAAAGTTTAAACCCAAGGTCAGAGTGCAGGTTACTGTTGCTCTACCTGTTTCCTTCCTTGAAAAAAAGACTTTACAGTTGTTATTGCAAGCATTCTTCAAGGACTAGTTGGAATTACTCTATTTATCCATAGTGTCATGGGCTGAAAGGAAGGGAGAGAAGAGAATGGACTAGCAACTCTCCTGCCAGGAGTGAAGGGAGGAGGATTCACTTGTTAGAGAGATACCTTTCTGTTCTTCTGAGCTCTCAGAACCCCCAGTTCCTCGGGCATTAAGTTCTCTTCACTGAAGCTGTGGCAAATACAGCTTACAAAACCTTATCAGGCTTCTCTCTTCTCAGCCTTCCAGCACCATCTTTTATGAGGAGAAAAGCAATTTGTATTCTCTTTGACCTCTCCCCCAAAGACTTGGCAAAGCTGTTTGACAGCTGCCTTCCTACGTGCTACGTGCAGGCAGTTCATGTCTAGGTTGAGAGGTGCAATCACCAGAACGTGCCTAATCTGTGTGGAAAAGTCAGAGTGAGCCTGGAGAGCCAGGGGAGATGCAGATCAGCCAGCCAGGACTGTGCAGGGGCCAGATGGGACTGTAAGTGAGCAGGGCAAGCAAGCCTTGGGGCTGTGAGTCTCCTCCCAGGAACACTTTGGAAAATACTAAACTCAGAGCTGGGAGCAGTTTGAGATGAAGAAAATGCAACACCAATGAAGGATCTAAAAGTCCCTAAAGTGATCTTGAAAGTCAGTAATTCAGTTCTCGAGGTTGATCCCAGTTCAATCAGTGGGCCAGCAAGATGGGTAAATGTTATTTCTCTGCCCAGGTTCTGGGGTAAACCAATGTCCTTCACACCTCACAACTCTTATTTCTAGCCGTGCCAGCTCTGCAAGGTTGGTACATGAGCAGCAAGGCCATCTAGGTGGCTTCCCAGAGTGCCACTTGCTGCTGTCATTGCCAGATGAGCTGAGTCTAAGCTAATGCTGTTCCTGTGCAAGTGCCAAATCTGTGCTGATTATGTTCAAATGCTGCCCTTTGCAGAGCTGGAGTTGCTTAGTTGTATGAGAGCACTTGTGAAAGAAGCTTCAGAGGTAGCTGTATGTCATCTTTGCTCCTGCTGCAGGCAATCCAGGGGGATTAGCCAGAGGCAAGCAGATGGGTGAAGAAATTTTGCTTTCTGCTTGGTCAATGAGACTGTGCAGCCCCACTTCCCTGTGCAGCTGAGCAGGGAGTGGGAGGACACTTGGGTGTTAGATCATTATTACCATCAAACTCCTGTTACCCAATGATCAGTTGACATCTTTTATGGTCTGTGTGCCCTGGGCACAAAATTAAAAGGTAGAGTCATCCCCCAAACATCTTCCAATATAAACTGTGAGGAAAACTATTACAGGAATAGCAGAGAACATCAGAATCAACAATATTGGGGTGAGTTAAGCAGCAGAGCATGTAGTTGGTGCATATGATGGCTGAACTGCTCAGTAACCGCACTGCCCTTGGATGTGCAGCCAACCCTCAGGAAATTTATTTTTATTTCTCATTCTTGCAAGAGGTTTTTATGAAACCAGGGCCGTGGGCAGAGATTTTTGTCACAGCAGGAGTCATGGCACAAAGAGGTGTATAATTAACCTGTATTTGTGTCCCTTGCAGAGGCAATGATTGAGAGATGTGTAACTGTAATATAACGGAATGATGTCATATATACTTAAAAATAAGAACACTTAATTCTCTGGGATGGGGAAGTAAAAGTTATAAAGAGGGGAAAGACAGAGAGTCACAGGAGCGTCAAGTGTTTTTTCTCTTTTCAGGGAGGTAGCCCAAAAGCAATATAAACTGGATCTCTCCTCTCTCTACACAGCTGTAGAGTTGTAGAGAGACAAAGTGTAGCTGTGTAAATCAGAAGTAAAATGTTAACAGTGAGTGAGGTGCTGGTATTTTTTGTGGTGTCTCTGCTGTTGATACAGTTTCTGAAACTGCAATGGATGCGAAGACGATTTCCTCCTGGACCAACTCCATATCCCTTCTTTGGAAATCTGCTGCAGATGAACTTCAAAATCCATCATGAGCATCTTAAAAAAGTATGTACTTTCTGGCAATCTATTAATGGACTCAATAAGCCGATTGAAAAGTAAATGTGTTTAACACAGTCTTATTTTGAATGCTAGGGAGGGATTTGTTCTAAATTGCAAAAATGTGGAAGTAGGTAGAGATAATTAAAATATCTGTTTCTTTGTGAAAATTTGCACTTACTATGAAATATATACTTAATACCTTATGTGCATATGAACAAAAACATCATGATCATAATAGTCCTGTCCTGTCTTATACATAGGAAAAAGATGTATTTTAGAGTAGACTCAGTAATTCAGTGCAGTCTTTTGGATGTCTGAATTTTGACTGTTGTTGCACTGACATTTTCCAAATATCCCGTGAAATAGCTACTGGGGACATATGTGTTTCCAGTATGGACAGGACGATTTTTTCATATACTTATTCAATGGATTTTTGGAAAGATCTTAGAATAAATTTTTTTCTGACATACAATTTATTCAGATTTTCACAAGAGATTTCAATCTGCTTAGCAAGACCGAGTTTTTACATGGCTAAAATAATTCACAGTATGCTCAAACTCTTTTCTAAGTCCAGTTGTAATGTACAGAACTTCTGAAGTTTGTATCCTGTTGTTTTATAGTTCTTATGCATCTATACTAAATATTTAACATTTAAATATGTCAGTAATAGCACCTCACTCTCCTTCTTCATTCTTTATCTTCATTTCCCCAGGTTTTTCCATGTCCTGCCAGTTCTGTCCTCCTGAGCTGCATATTTCAAGGAAAAGTGATATTATTCCATAACATAAAATAGTAGCTAGTGCCTGTCTGCTGTATTTTCTTCTATTTCTGACATTCCAGACATGAAGAGTAGTACTGGTCACCACAAGGTTTCAAAGCCATGAACTGGTCCTGACAATAATGAAATTAAGCACAAATGTGCAAGCACAAGCACATACATTTTTGCTCGCTGTACATAAGTATTCCTTCTTGTTTGCTCCCAGGCAGAAAAATTTTGCAATCCTCTAGGCCTGCATTTCTTGGGTTGTCTTAGCAACACAGCACTCTTTCCAGCCTATTTTGCTACTTTTCTAGCTCCTGATTGAGCAGCCAGGGGAAGAACTGCCCTGCCTGCTGCCAGCGATGCCTGCGTGCACAGCAGCTGAAGACAAGGCTGTCACGGCTGAGCTAGAAAGGAAATTCCTACATTACTCAGCTCCTTGACTGCTTTTGGTACACTTGACACACAAAGGGGAATCTGTAGATGGTTCATATTAAATTCATGAGCTACTGCTGTCTTGTAGCAAGTAGTGAGGATGGAAGAGTTAATCTACAATGAGTTTGAATCATAAGACATAATAACATCACAGACTTTGGCAATATTGGCTGACATTTTAGAAACGTCATGACCTTTAATAAATGGGACTTTAGATAGAAACCTGACTTCAAACTATATTGTATATAAGAACATATCTGATGCTCTCTTCTCAAAGCCAGTCACCCTTAGGGCATCTGCCCAGGGGGAAGATCTGGTCCATCTTCTTTGATTTAAAAGCACCATTTCTCACTCTTGTTATTCTGATCATGCTTTGTTCTATAGATGGCCAAAATTCATGGTAATATCTTCACCTTATGGTTTTCAAACACTCCTGCGGTTGTCCTGCAAGGGTTCCAGGCAGTGAAGGAAGGTCTCACTGCTCATGCTGAAGATGTTGCTGGAAGGCCCACAAGCAAAATTTTTCACGTTCTGACACGTGGAAATGGTAATTATTATTCTCAGAAATTCTTTTAATGTGTTCTATCCCTAGTTCTGTATATTGATTTAGAGCCTAAAAGTCCTTAATTTACATCAGGAAAAAAGTTTTAATTTTTGTGAATTTTTAAAAACAATTCTATTCTATATTCTGTCAGAATAATAATGACAGCTTAGAGCTAATGTAAGAGCTTCTATACAGAGAATAAATGGCTAAAATACAAAAAGAGAAATGTTTCCAGACTGCTGTAGAAAAATTGAAAAAATTAGAAGAAAAGAGAAGCTTCTTGGATGTACAAATCCATTAATTTGGAAGGTACTGACAGCATTTGTTCATTATGATTCTAGGTGTTATATTTGCTAATGGTCATCTCTGGAAGCAGCAGAGGCGTTTTGGAATTGCAACAATGAGGAAAATGGGAGTAGGGAAAAAAGATAAGGATTATCTACTGCAAAAAGAGGCTGCTCACCTGGTGGAATACTTACAGAAAACAAACGGTATGTGAGGGTGGGCAGGGCAGTCTGTGCAGTGGGAGACTTTGCTGGAGAATGGGGCTCTGGTGGCTTTTGAAACTATTTGATTACAAAAATGGATTCCAAGTGTATGTGCAGAGCTGAGTCTCAAAAGTCTGTATATGCTACCTGCATGAGATACTTACTTGCTGAAGTGTGAAACCCCACAGCAAGCTCACAGAATTAGAGATTCCTGTCTTGTTATATATATGTCTAGTTACATATTTATAATATACTGGTGTATATATACTGGTCCCTATCGGTGTTTTTACTTCTGAGTCCATTCTATGTTACTTATGGTAACAGCATCAGGGTAACAGCAAACAGTAACAAAATCAGTGTCACAATGCCTCCTATTCCTGTGTAGAGAAGAAAAAGCATAAAATATACAAAGTTTTGACCAAGGATGCACAGACCTGTGCTCTACTCTGTCAAGTGTAGTAGAAAAATCTCAGCTCACACAGCTTATGGTGAGCTCCTCAGTAGGAGAGGGAGTTTGTTCAGATTGTGATGCTGAAAAATGGGGTGAATCAATGGGTAGGTTGAAATATTCTAATATGATAAAATGATATATATTCTAATATGGTAAAATGATATAAAAGAAGACTAGAAGGTGGTTCTCTTCTCAACTGATCTGTTTATTTAATGTCTCAGCTGGTTTTGTATCCTGGTTATTGCCAAACATGAGATCTGCTGATGCCAAGGTTTGATAAAATCAACATTTTTATAATTAATACTACTAATTCCATTTCCACCAGCAGTTTTTCCTTTTTTTAACCAACAGTGCTTTTTTAGATGTCGGAAGTTACTTTTTCACTCAGGCCTTTTAACAATAAATTACAATTTGCCATCCAGTGATCTAATTGATGTCAGAAATATTTATGAAATTTTATCAGCTCCCCTCTCAGTGAGAAAAGCAGGAAGAGGAAATGTTAATGGTGAATGCAGTCCCTTGTGTTTACAGGAAAACCTCTGGACCCCACTATGCCTGTTGTTCATACGGTCTCAAATGTGATTTGTCTTGTGATTTTTGGACATTGTTTCTGCAGAGATGACGAGAATTTTCACCGCCTGATTGAATCCTTTGACACCATTTCAGCATTTTTGAACAGCATCTCCTTCTTTGTGAGAAAAATCAATTTTGTTTGTTTGCTTGCTCTCTATAGATAGATGGTGCAAAAAGGCAACTTGCTTGTTACTTTTGTAACAAAAATAAATACTAGAGCACCTGGAATTTCTGGAGAGCACATTAGAACAGTGCTTCCAGATGCCTGGTTCAAAACTTGTTTCAACTGCTTGTGCTTCATCATAGCACAAAAATTTCCTGTATCTGGGGGACAGGGATGAAAATGCAGATTTGTTACATCACTGAGATATGTACAAAGGACTTTTTTGCAAAAGTGCCACCTGTACAACTCCAGTGATTGAAACTATATCTGAAATCAATAGTAAAATATGGGTTAAATTATCTGAAAAGCTCTGAAATAGGCTTATCCTAATTTGCGTCTGGTGAACCGGCTTTCTTCATTCTGTCATATGACACAGCTGTCAAAAAATGTCAAGAGTAAATGGATTTTTACATCTTCCTTCACTGCTGCCAGCTGACCTGATATAAACTGGAGTAGAGAAACTGCTTTGTGCAAAGGTAACATGGCATGAAATTGCTTAATGGCAGCTTTTCCCTACAGTTTTTGACAACAGCACCTGTACCACATCTGCACATCCTTACAAGAATACAGTGACACAACAGAAGTCACCCTCCTTTAGCTGCTGGATGGTATCTGTCTCCATTAAACTCCTAACTTCACTTCTGGTCCTCTGGAGAGAAAAAGTCTCTCTTGCTTCTGTATGTGCATCTGTGACTGCAGCTGCCAAAGCAGCAGAACAGGTGGCATCAGACTGGGGCAGTTTTATTATGAATCATTTATGAGAAGGAATCATGGTACTGTGTGTAGTCAAAAAGTGAATTTACCCATGCACAAGGCAGCTGCTTCTGCAGAATTTGTTGGAACTCATCCAGTTCTGTGTCTTGTGTGATTTCCACCGCCTCTGACTGACTGGAAACTGCTGTAAGCAAGGTCCTAGAGGATTCGAGGACTGATTTGATACTTTTGGTAGATAAGCTAAAATAAAATGACTTATTAGTAACTATCCCAGAAGATGCCAGTGAAATGATTCCTAAGCTACCCTTTTAATCAGGGTAGACACAGGTTCAGCTATTTCCAAACTGCTTTCAGTAGGTATTTGTATAAGTTGTTTTCAAAACACCTTAATAGTGTGTCCATAGCCAACAAAATTGTTTTAGTCCAGCATTTCATTGCGTCCCACTCTCCACAGTGCTTTTACAGGAATGTACAATCCCTTAATGACTGGCTATACTTACCTGTTTTCCTGGTAAGAGGGCAGGTAGTGCTAAGGAAAATTATACAGTAGGGCGAAGAAGAAATAGAGCTGGGAATCTGAACAGGCTTGTGGGGAGATAAATCTTTGTAATGCACCTGCCACTTAAATAGGTGAGCCCAGAAGTTAAGATCTAACATCCATTATAATATGGGTATAATTTAAGCTGCAGTAGTTCTGTAACTAGAAGGACATGATGCAGTCTGTAAAAGGGGGAAAACGAAAATGAAATGAAGTAGAATGGAATGGATGTAAGAAGTGTTTTACTTCTTTTCTGCTGATATATGGCTTTATGACAACATAAGGACAAGAAGGTGAATATGTTTAGACTGGGAGGGAAGCCACACAACTCAGTGTTTCTGTGTCATTGACATATTTTGCACATGACACAAATATGATCTATTTGCTTCTTATCTATGAGAAGGCAAATGTGAGTAAAATTTCCATGCATTCACTATCCTATTGTAAGAAAATAAACCTGGGTTTGGATAGTTCTATTTTCACTTAATAGATGTGTCAAGGAAGTCAGCCTGGATCTGTTTTTTTTAGTGATGAAATAGAAATTATATGTGTGTTGGATAAAGTGAGATTAGGGACAGGTTTCATGGGAGATTCTTGGTTCAGCTGAGCAAAGTTCAGCCCAGCAAAGAATTGGGGTAGAGAGGAATTTAATTTATTCTTTCTACATCACATTTTATTTATATAATCTCTAAGTGTGGGTGTATGTATATATATATATATATGTGTATATAATCTATTTATATATATATATATAAATAGAAAACTTTATCATATAAAACTGAGAGAAATTTTGATTTTGCTCCTGGGAAAAATAGAATTAAGAAAGGCTTTAATCTTTAATGAATCATGGGATAGGCACTACCCCTTCAATCTAATGCTGATTCAGTCATCAGTCTTTCACTTGCTTTTTCCACTACCCAGAAGCCTGAATTAGGATTCAAATTTAGTTTGCTAAATGTCACATGTTTATATGTAATATCACATATCTAAAATATCTCTCTTACAGGTATATGAGTTGTCTCCCTGGCTTGCTGGTCATTTTCTGCCATCAGTTAAAAAGTTTAAGTCCTGTGTACATTTTGTGAATGATCTGTTAGCAAAGGAACTTGAAAGTCACAAAGGAAGAAGAAAATTTGCTGAGAATCAATATTTTATTGATTACTATTTGGATGAGATAGATAAAGTGAGTACCTCTGAACTTCTCTCACACTTCATTAACTAAAAGGAATTTTAAGTGTTTTTTTTATTATGATGATGTCTAATATAAATTTAGAAGTGTATGATTTCTCCAGGTGGTTTAATTCTTCTTTTGTGTGCCATAACTTTCTTTTCAACCCATATCTGCAGACTAAAGGAGATGCTGATGCTACTTATGATGAAGTAAACTTTCTCCAGACCATTTTTGACCTCTTTGTAGCAGGCATAGAAACTACAGCCACCACTTTACTGTGGGCATTGCTCTATATGGTGATTTATCCTGACATTCAAGGTAAGTGCATTCAAAGAGGTCTGCAATTCTAGCACCGATACAAGTTCAGATAGCGGTTGTGCCTGTTCAAAGAAAAGTAGAGGAACTAATAACTAAAGTGTGAATCAGGTGAACTGCATTAATTTGTTTCTTGCTGTATCCTTTCTAACAAGCAAATTTCAGTTTATTGGGTTTTTTTGTTGTTTTTTTTTTGTTGTTGTTGTTTTTTTTAACGTAACTAAACAGAATGTGATTAATTTAATCAGCTGGAGGAATTTAGTCCCAGATGAGATAAATTGCACCATTGCCCCTCCACACAGAGTAATGCTTAGACTTCCACTAAGGAGTCTTTGGGTCATCCTTTTAAATCTCTGACTCCTACTCTTTGATTAGCTCTTGGCCTCTTGCAGCAAAAAAAACTTAAACACAGTGTGAGGTTGCTAATATTGGGGTGAGTAGCTTGAAAATGTGTGCTTTTAATGATGATATTCACAGAAGAAAGATTCAGGTTGGCAGAGTTAAATGACTGGGAAAAAAAAACGAGACAGAGTGTGTGGGATAAAAAGGATTAGAAGGTACAAAACTCATTTTAAAGGCCTCATAATTCAGAGTTTAACCTGAGTCCCAGGCTCAACAGGAGGCTGGTAAGTAGAAAATGTAGAAGTGTTAAGGAGAAAGCATCTCCCAATTTTGTTACCTTCAAAAGACTTAAGACTGAGTTGCACATACCGAATTTTCACATTTTTTATCTTCTCAGGATATATTAACATATTGTTAAGTTTTGTGGGGGAAATTCTAATTGCAATGATAGAGTCTGTAGTATTAATTAAAAAAATAATTAGAAATTACCATTTCAGCTTGGATTGGAAGTAAAAAAAAAGAAGTCCTTGGGTAAAACTAATTTGTGTGAGTGCTTCCCAAGGCAAATAATTACAGAATAGCAATTAGGACATCTATGAATGACAAGCAAAATCTATGTGCTTCTTAATGAAGAACAATCCTTGATCAATTACTAAACTGTTCCCCTAACACATGGTTAATATTTTTTCTCTTGACTACCTGCCTATTGAAATAAATATTAATAAAAGTATTTTTATAAATTACCTTGGAGCAATAAAGGTAACAGGAACCCACATATTATTATAGAATGACCTCATCTGCTGTCATTATTTTAAAAGTATATATGCAACCTATAAATAACTTTAATGTCAAATTTTTTCAGGTCATCTGTATGGGAATTTGAAGGCATTATTTTTTTATAAAGTATCTTTTCCATCTGGTTGGATGCCATTCTGACTATAAAAAGCAACAGGAACAATTATGACTATAGAGTTTATAGAATGTTTGCTGTATATTTAAAGCTGAATATTCCTCCTTAGAGAAAGTCCAGAAGGAGCTGGATGCTGTTGTGGGTTGTTCCCACGTATTTTGCTATGAGGACAGGAAAAAGTTGCCCTACACAAATGCTGTAATTCATGAGATCCAGCGATACAGCAACATAGTCTTAATTGCACTGCCCAGACTGAGTGTGAAGGACACAGAGCTGCTGGGATATCATATTCCAAAGGTACAAATGTGCTGCATGTTTGAATGAATTTTATCCTTAGTCCATTAGATGATTTTAGAAAGGCTTTTGAGGTTTTTCCTGATTGGGGGCATAAACTCTTCTTCTGGCAGTGCCTCTAAGATTTGACTTGCTCTGTGGATGGCCTTTCACAAGGCTTTGTCCTAGATATTAGTAGATTCTACAGTCATAGTTTTTGTTGCAGCCACTGCTTTTTTTTTCAGAACACCATAGTTTTATCAAATATTGACTCTGTTCTGTCTGACCCTGGAAAATGGGAGACACCTGATCAGTTCAACCCAGGCCACTTTCTGGATAAAGATGGAAACTTCATAAACAGAGAAGCATTCTTACCATTTGCTATAGGTAAGTGCACTGAACAGGGATTTATTTACTTCTTGTGGTAACATCTTCAGATCCGTACATTTCCCAAAATGACAGGGAAGGCGCCTATGAATGGGCATATACAAATTGTCTTAAAGTTCTCTAAGAAGAGAGAAAGTCCAGTTGTATGCAGAAAAGATTGGAAGAGAAGGAATGACATATAGAAAAGTCTTTCTTGAAAGACAGATCCAACTTCTCTCTGAGAAGATATCCAACTATCAAAGCAGTAGCAGAAAAATGCATGGTGTTGAGAAGACTGTGAATGTAAACCATGCCACCCTGGTGACAATTTTTAGAATGTCTTAATGCTTGCTGTAAATGCAGATGGAAACTTTTTGTGGAAATACAAGCAGCCTTTCAGTTATGAATCATTAAATGACAAAGTTAAGAGAAAAGGATAAAATCTGCAGAAAACAAGCAAAGAAAATCCCAGGCAGTTTAGAAAGGGAGGTATGACAGAAATCCTTGGGCTAAATTGCCTTTTCTGTTTCTTCACAGGGCACCGTGTGTGTATGGGGGAGTTGTTGGCAAGGATGGAGCTCTTTATTGTCTTTTCCACCCTCCTACAAGCATTCACATTCACCCTGCCAGAAGGTGTGAAGGAAGTCAACACCAAATTTGTTTTTGGGAGCACGATGAAGCCACCTCCCTACCAAATCTGTGCCATTCCTAGATAGGAAATGGCAGATTCAGGGAGGAGTTACTCTAAAACTGCTTCTGTATGTGAATTACTTTTTTCATGTCCTAAGATTTTTGCTTTCCTCTTCATTTGCTTAATCACTACCCTGAAAGATTCTTGACAAACTGTTGCATCCTGAGCACTATAATTATAAAGGGTTCATATTTTGTTCTTTTTTTTCTGTTTGGAAAATATTCTTCTCCTTTGGAAAATAAACTTCTCCTGAGGTGTAACAAATAAAGACATTAAGGGAATAATTACAGTTGGGACTTATTTATTACCAACTGGAAAGAGGTTTTACAGAATCTTGAAGTGTGGTCTATAAGTCTCATGAATAAAGATTCTTTCTCATAAGCCACAGTTGCATTTGTGGAGATGGGTTCAGAGGTCTTCCAGTCTGTCTTGTGGTATCAGTGGTTGAAGAAGAAGCTCTTGGAGGAAGGTTTCTAGAGGCAGAAAGTATGACCTGAGATAACATTCCATTAGACTGATATGGTTTGCTGTTGAGCAGGCCTGTTGTATACAACTCTATCATTGTCACTTGGGAAGAATGTTCAGGGTTTCATCCTCTAAACCAGGTAGCATTTCAACCCTTCTGATGAAAATAGAAGAGTGGCTTCATCAGGCAGTTGTGGAGAGCTTTTCATGTCCTTGCAAGGAGCAACGACTGGAAGACAAATGACAACAGTGAGCAGGCACAGTGTTGATAATTTATTCTTTTTTATGAGCCCACTATTTTCGAGCAATGTGGGAACTTTTTCTTCATGCCAGGTAGTCTACTTGTGATGATTGCTCCAGATCCTCCAAAAGTTTATTCAGCTTCATTTTTTCTTTCATTTTTAAAATGGATTCTTTATCACAGTTAGATGACCTCACTTAGCACACCATGACCAAAAGTATATTTGCCTTTACTGAAGAGTTCTGGAAGCCCTTTATGAGCCAGGTGCCTAAGGAATTGGCTAAAATGGATGTTTTCTGCTGCTCTGCTTACTGGCAGTTAAAAAGGGATTTTCTTTTATGGCATTGGGTTACATTCTTCTGGTATGAGGTACAAATTTGATACTGCATGCCAACACAGGAAGGATTATTTTTATACACTGATTAGCTGACAGTGCCATCTCCAGGACTGACATCATTATCACAGCTGCCCACCTGGTGTTTTAAAGCACCCCGGTCTAACAGGCAGGGATGTGCATACAGGATCAAACCTGGGTTGGCAGTCCCTTCCCCTGCAGGATTACCTTTATGGGATGGTTCTACCCATGTCCAGCATGTCCTGGCAGGTGGTTGGTATGAAGTTTCCTCATGCTGGACCTGCAAACATCCCACAGGCAGTAGCTCCACACTGGTAAGAGAATAATTAATTTGTATCCATCCGGGTTTGGGAGGGGAAGCAGCAGTTGCTTACCTTTAGCAAGTTAAAAATCACTAATTTTAAAGAGCAGCTGGAAGATAGTGCTGAAGAAACGCTACTGATGGTTGCATTTAGTAATTATTAAGAAAATGGAGCCTTGGCTATTTCATAAATACATTTTCCATCAAATAAAGTAAGAGAAAACCCATGCCTCCTCTCTGAACCAACCCACAGTCATCTTCCTTTTCCAGTGTGAGAGAATTGTATTCCAGGCTGGCTCCAGCTGAACACTGGTTAAAGGTGTGAGACTCCAGCCCTTGTGGGGTGAAGGCACCGGGGCTCAATTTCCAGCGGACAGAAATTACTTTTCCTGATGAAAAATGACTTAGATGGAAAATCTTCTAATATCTAAAAGAAAAGGGAGTGCATTATATTGATTCCAAATTAAAACTTCTGATAAATTGGGAAATTTGAAGCAGAGTTTGTGAGATTAAACTGGAGAGAAGGCAAAACTTAACAAATTTCTTTTTAAAGAGAATTTTACTTTCCCTGCTGAAAGAGAGAGACAAATTAGAAATTATTGTCTTGAAAAATCACCTTTTTAGTGTACACAAACAAAGCTTATGTGGAAACCTACGAATATCCCTTGGTCAGTACACATTAATCAGTTATGCATTAGCAGTAATCCAGAGCCATGGTTGAAGGCTAATTGACCTGGAGGTTTGTACACTGTGTGCTGGCAGACTCCAGGCTGCTCCTGCAGGGTCTTCTGTGTTCCAGAGCCACAAACTCTGGAAATAGTTTCTGTCCCAAAGTCAGCTTGTAAGAAGCAAGTTGGTTCCCAAGTCTTGGCAGCTTTTTCAGAAGATTAGTGAAAACATGTTTCTTTTACAAGTGCTTTGCTCTCAAGGGATGGACAGTTCTGACAGGGAAGCATTTCTGTCAGGATCTGTAACGTGGGACTGCAGTGGTTATGGTAATGTGGTGACCAGAACCCCTCTTGTGAGGTTTCCATGCTCTGATTGCAGCATGTGAGCACCCTGCTGTGTTTGTGGTTCCTGCCTGTGTTGAGGCTCGGCAAAGAGCCTTGGCTACAGACTCTGTTTACAAGTTACCAAGGTTCCAAACTCGTGTCATGACTAGTTCTTGCCGGGGCCCTTTTTTCTGGTAGTAGCTCAAGATCCCTACTAGTTTTTTTCCCATGTTTCTAATGTTTTTTTTTTTCTTTTAAATCTGTTTATTTAATACTAAATGTACTTCCTCTATTAATATGCATTATTTATCTCACAATACTTTCTGATATTTCTCAAATTATATAGGGTATCCACTTTATGTCAAGATTGAAGTGCCGAAGAAGACAAAATCCTCTGTGCGTTTACCTAGTGCTAATAGGTTAGGTAAAAAAGTGAGGTCATACATCAATCCAGTTATATTTTCAATTACATTCAAAAGTGTAACAAATTTTGCTTTTTGTATTAAGCATTAGATAGTTGTATATGTATCTTAAGATAAATGTGGGCTTTTAACTTCTATCAGCCTCGCCATTACTAGATATAACATGTACATGGAATATATACAAACCAATTTAAAAACTTCAAGATTTAATATCCACTTACATTTGCCTGCTTATTTGTATGTATGGCTATTGCTTTTCTAAAAGCATTCCTGGAGTATTTGTAGGAACACATACCATTCAAAATTGTCCCAGAAAAACTAGATGGAGAATTAGCATGCACCTGCATTGCCTGGAAAATCTTGGCCCAGTCTTTTAAGATACTATTCCTACAAATCCTGTGATCCATACTGAGTAAGTATAATCTGGATGAGAAGTAGAAGGGTGTGCATCTATTAATATGCTGAAGCATGAGAATGTAATAAGTGGAACAAAAAGGGAGTGGTTGATAATAAAGAGGGAGGGTTAGAGGTGGGGAATACTTATTAAGTGAATTCAAGCTCTTATGAAAAAACTGGTTTAGCAACCAGCCTTAATAGCTTCAATAGACAATTTTGAATAAAGGCAAGCTGGTAAAGGCAGATGCTAAAATGTTGACCATAAGTCAAACTCTTGTAGCAGTGGCTGTATTTCTCCTAATTACGCAGTTTTTTAAGTTGCAGCGAGCGCGGAGATGGTTTCCTCCTGGACCAGTCCCTCTCCCAGTCCTTGGGACGCTGATACAGCTGAACTTTCAGTTTAATCGTGATCTCCTCATGAAGGTACTTATTTTCAGATCCTCCTAATTGTTCAAAAGTCTTTGTGATTTCTCGTTTCTCATGTTGTTTGCTATGTGAAAACATCCTGGCCCAAACTGCATTGGTAGAAACTGTAAAGTAGCTGTAGCTGTTAACTGGCCACTGTGATGTCACACTTGGTTTGGTTCACAAAATAAGAAAAAGATATTGCAGTGTAAAGTAGTTTGCCTAATGCTAAGAAACCTAGTATTGGAATTTCTGAATGTGTGAAGATCATTCTGGTGTTTAAACCTATCCCCTTTAACACTGATTTTCACTGAAATTAGTGTGAAACTTGATATCTTTCTATCATCCCTTGGCACTAAATTTGATGAATTCATGTGAAAATTGATATAATTTAGGATTAAGTATATTTGGGGATGATATGTCAGATTTGGAATTAAGGAAAAAAATATTATAAAAAATTATTTTCATAGCATGGGTTTGTAGCTTTCTCTAGCTCGAGCAATGAAAAGATACTTCCCTGTACTCTGTGTGTATGAGATTGTTTGTATTGACAGGATCAAAAACAGATGGGAGGAAAGAAGAAAGTCCAGTCTCTAAGCTAATTACTCCTCTGACAGTTCTGTGTTCTTTTGTGTTACTGTACTTGTGCAAAAGATAGAGACCCTCCTGAAATAAATTGCTAAATAGAAAATGCCCTTTATCCCATGGATGATTGTGAACTGAGCCTTGGCTTATATACAGTAATAAAAGGTACATAATGTTTCTTGACATAGGCATGTGGCTATGAAAAGTGGGAATATGCAGGTGTTTCCAACAGTGAATGTTGGAAAAGACATTTATGATTTCTCAGTGATAATTGTAGTCTGGTGGGAAAGACGAAGAACACCACTCCACCTTAGGGCTGGTCCTGTAATCCGTGCAAAAACAGGTTCATCCTCTGTTTGCAGTGTGTGGGATTTTATCTGTGCTTTCCTGGCTTCTCTCCCATTGCTAGCTGGCAAAAATTCATGGCAACATATTCACCTTATGGTTTGGATGGGCCCCAGTGGTGATACTGAATGGATTTCAAGCAGTGAAGGATGGCATGACCACACACCCTGAAGATGTTTCCGGGAGGCTGGTGTCACCTTTCTTCAGAGCATTGGCCAAAGGAAAAGGTGAGATTTTCCTGGCATAAATAGTGCACAGAAATGTCATCTTGACAAATTGCAGTACCTTTTGTAGCTTGTGACCACGTTCAGAGGTAGCACAGAGGAAGGGTTTCTCTGTGAGGAATGGCTGCCAGGTGAACTGCAAGGTACAGAGAGGTGAAAGAGCTTTTGGACAGTAGCAGGAGGAAAATACTAACAGGAGGAGAAGGATTCATAATATCTTCTATGGAATACTGGGGCAGATTCAGAGGTGATGGGATGAGGCAATGATAAGTTGTGGCACAGAGAAATGGAGGA